AAAATCAAGACTTCACATCTGGCTAAAACAGCACCTGGACATGGATTACTGGTGCCTCTATAAATAAATTATTGACGGTCAAGGACTTCACATCTGTGATCCAAAGGTAGACATGACCAAGTACCTAATCTTCTCAGATAAGGACGAAAAACTGGGGAGGTCAATAGGGCATGTTGTGCATGTGAAAGACCCCTTGGCAGTTGAAAGTCAAAGAAGAGTAGGCTTAGTAAGGCTGGCCATCCAAAAACACTTCCAATAAATCCCTAACAAAGCTTTGTATCTAAACAATTTTTGTCAGAATAAAATTAATGACTTAAGAGTCAAAATATTTTCCACAATGGCATATGCTGCATACACGACAAAGCAGACAAAATTGTAGAAGTAGAATAGGCAAAAAAGATTGAAATCGATTAAGCTGCAAGTAGAAGAAACTAGAGTCCACTACCCTCAATATCCAACTAGACAATACAAAAGAATAAGACCTCTTTGCCCATAAGGGCAAGTAAACCTGAGCCACTCTGAAAAGCCTCAGCCAGCCTTGATCTACACAATATGAGTAATATTCTTTTAGCCTTTTAAAAATAACATCCAAACATGGGGAATCATAATTTATGGGATTCCTAACATAAACAGTACTTGATTTTCATCTTTCGTCTTTTTTTATTCTTGATATTTTTCTTTATTCACACATATTGTAATCTGTGTTTACGTGTATTGTAATTTTGAGGGTAAGTCCCAAGGTGTAAAGTGTGTGTTGAAGAAAGCTCTTTCATAAAAATATCAAATGTAAGTTTCTTGAAGCTTTATAAGATATTTTTTTAATTTTGAGATTTTCATTATGAAGCAAACAAATATATTCTCAGTAAAAGACCCATTCAGACCTGCTTTTGTTGGTACAGTACTTATGTTCCTGTGTATTGTCAAGTTGGCATCAGTCCCAGTAGCAGTATACAAGACTGACCAGGCTAACTAAAGTATTACTATGCATTCTCTGACAAAAAAGAAGTATTCACAATGTTTGCAGACACTAGCAAAACCCACACACACACACAAAAATCTGCCACAGTGACCACAAAGCACTACAAAAACTTCAACAAATACTGCACACACTTCAGCTGTTCTTAGCAATAATGAAAATATATGATATCACAATTTTGATTATGCTTGCAGACCTTTGCATCTGTGACAAAAATAAATCATAAAAACATGTAGTTTAAAGTAACATATGCAAAAGAAAGACATAAGAATATGAACAAGAAGCAGAATAAAACAAGGAAATGACAATGTCGACAAAAATAAAGTCTAAGTAGATCATTTTCTGACCAATTCGGTATTTTGCACTCAGATCAAGGCTTGAAACAGATGTACTGAAACAGAAATTTACATACTGGTAGAGACTTCCTCTTTTCCAAAACCGATATACTGAAATTGTAATCAGTATGGAGTCTGAGTAGCACCTACGTCAACAAGAATTTTGAAAGGAACAAATAAAAAGAAATGTAAAATCACATTGGTACCTAACTCTTTTCCTCTTTACAACAGGCCCAAGCCCGGTGACCACATCCCTAATTTATAATAAAGAACATGTGTGTGTCTGAAGAAAGGACCCAGTTGTCAGCAAAGCTATGTTTGAGTTATAGTGTAAAAAAGGCCAAAAAAGTCACATACCATGTCAAAAATTTAGTTCCATCAGAAATATATTTCTTAATAACACATAGATATAAAGGAGTTTTGTATTATTTTCTATCTAAATATTTTTTAATCAATTATTTTTGTAAAATGTTGTACTTCACCAAAATATGCTTGAAATGGGGTCAATATACTAGGGATATAGCTTCAAATAGCTAGGAGCAACAACCACAGAACTCCGTGGCAACTCAGAGAAGCTCCAGAAGCAAAGAAGCAGATTGTGTGTGAGGGCAAACTTTCTTGAGAATAGGGTTAATACTATTTGGAACAATCTTCCCGAATCAGTGGTGTCAGCTCCAAACGTGGACACATTTAAGAGACGTCTGGACGAATACTGGAAAGATCTCCCAACTATTAACAACCCCACCTGCCAAAACTGATTTGTCTAGCCTGCACGCAATGCATTATTGTCGTTCATTACAAGATAGTTGAACAGGCTCTACTTAGACCCTCAAACAACTAAATCGTCAAGGTCAATGTCAATGTCTCAGATGAAGGCTCAAGACCAAAAATTCTCTCCAGAATCGCACAAACAACAGCTGCCCAGTCAAAACTGAAGCCTATTTGGGACAGAAACATCACGCACAACTCAAAAATTAGATTAATGCGCTCAGTGGTCATCTCAATATTTTTATACGCCTGCGATTCGTGGACACTAACAGCAGAATTAGAGAAAAAGATTCAGACCACAGAGATGAGATGTTACCGCAGACTCCTTGACATCTCGTACAAAGACCACGTTTCAAATGCTGTTGTACGAAAAAGAACCATCAACGCAGTGGGGCAGTATAAAGATCTACTGACCACAGTGAAGAGACGAGAATTAAAATGGTATGGGCATGTCAAAAGATCCATAGGACTGGCCAAAACAAAACTTCAAGGAACCGTACAAGGAAAGAAAGAGAGGAGGACAGAGAAGGAGATGGGAGGACAACATTACAGAGTGGACAGGAAAGACGATGGGTGACAATCTGAGGAAAGCAGAGGACAAAAATAGATGGCGAGAGCTGGTTTTCAGATGCTGTGGTGCCCCCACGGTTGCCCCAACCACGGGATAGAAGAAGAAGACTAGGGATATTTTGATCACTTCAAGACAGTTTTCCATTCAAACCCCATCACGTCGAATAACAAAATTTTCAGCATGATCTCCCCTACACTTTCAAACTGAGCGCGCATGAATGCATCCATTTCCTTAGCGACAGCATTTGTTGCGCATCTATAACACATCTGCTGACTTAAGCTCACAGAATTCCTCACAATTACTTCAAACTTCTGCCAAAGTGAAAAAACAATCTAAAGCTTTTTTCTTCAAATTTTGTTTTTAGAACCTATATTACAAAATGTGGCATATCTTTAAAACAATCCAAAATATTTGAAAAACTTCTTAAACAACGAGTTCAACATTGAATTTGCTGCAAATAATATGCCCTTCGTTCAAAATCCTAAATTTCCGACAACTGGGGCCTTTCTCTAGGCACACACTCATATAATAAAAATAATTTTACCAGTACGTACAACTTATTTGTAAAATCAGATAGAATTATACAAATAAATAGACATAAATTTCTCAAATACAATGAAGGTAAAGTAGAAATAAAAGAGTGAGCATGTTCAGTAGATGTCATGTCAATAGTCCTATTAGATTAGCAAACACTTTTTAAACCCCTCCCCCCTACACATTGCTACATGACCATACCTTTTTTGTGGCTGTGTTGTTTAATAGAATACAACAATAACTGTTGCAGCTAATTCCTCGTAAAACTTGTACTTACACCAACAGAAAACTTCCAATGACAATTTTTAAAAAAGCTTCTTGCGATAAAACGGAAACTGTTGACATACAGAACACTATGGTACTGGAACAGAAAGTCTTATTCCACTTTCAGACAATGAGACTAAGAAGTCAAGAACTACCATCTTAAAAATAAAAAGTAAAAAAAAAACCCATACTGTTCAAGTACATCAACTTCGCCTTGAGAATTTGTATGAAACAATAAATAATACAATATTACATATAAACAGAACAGAACTTCAGGCACAAAACCCCCCCCCAAAAGTAACCATAAACAATTCCCAATAAACAACATAGTAAATTGGTCTCACTGTGCACTCAATGGCTATTAACAAAGCATTCACAGTAGAACATGACTATAGTGGCACCCGCTACAGCGGGATCATCCCTACAGCGGCACCTTACCGGAATCCCCTTTTTTGTCCATATGTAAACTCAATTACACGTGCTCCGGTTCAGCGTGGCAAGGAAAGGCCCGAAGTTGGATACAGCGGGAAAGATCGAGCGAGCTCTAGCTAGGGGGGGGGGCTGGGCTATAGGTGGGCTCCAAACAAGACAGTCAGTGTGTGATCTTTGGGTTATTCCCCTTTGCATTCCTATAATAATAATAATAAATGACATTTATATAGCGCTCAACCCCGAATAAAGTACACAGGCTCTGAGCGCTTTACAATACAGTACAACATACAACAGTAACATGAAACGTTGTGTTCTGACTAAAGAAAATTATTCCAAATATTCATCTTATTAATTTAAAAACAGAAACGACAGGAACCAGGCAAGGTCAAAGAGACAGTAAAAGAAGAGGAGAGCGTGCAGTGTGTGATTTTTCTGTAATTTCCCCTTTGCATTCCTTTAGATGGAACTTGCCTGCAGCGGGATTTTTCTTCTGGAACTAAAAGTCCCGCTATAGCCGTGTTCTACTGTACTTAAGTCTCAACATTCATCCTCTCCATTTCAATTGTAACAAAGCAAAATCTTCAATCACAAACACAATCACAGCCACAACAGGTACTCTGATAGTTACAAACAAAAAGCGTCCTTCAAAAGTACTTGCACTGTTCCCTCGAAGACACACAAAAACAACCAAACACCCACAAACAACAAGAACGCCATAACTGCATCACTATGCACACGCATTCATCCCCATCAACAGCACTTGAAATAAAAACAGCTCAGCTTTGGGCTTTGACCAAAAGTTCGGTCTTCCTTACCTTGATGGTCAGCATAACTAATTATCTTCACAAACATTTATTCCTTTCAACACTTTAGTCTCCGGTACATTAATAAATTCTCACGTGAGAAAGCTCATCGCAAGTCCAATTCAATCATACTTGACTCCCACTGTTTATATAATGGAGCATTTTTATCCTCAAACAATTTCTGCGAGTTTTGTTGTACTTATATATTTCCTAAATGGACAAAGACGAGACAAAAATAACATTTTATTCACGGTAGTCATCCCCCTTTGTAACTTCCAAATAAGAACTGTGACATGATGAAAATCATCAAATTATTATTTTACCAGGGAATTTCATTAGAATGACATTCGTATTTACTGACTGACAACAACAAATCACATTGGAAACTAAGTCTCAACTTCAGAACTGCATTTAAAGTCGTCACATAAAAAGGATAAGCTTATTTTCTAAATATACCAAAGGAGTCAAGATTCTGGGGGAAATCCCTTACTAGAATATACCTGTTCTCCCCACATAGTAAATATGCAGTAATCAACAATTCAGACTTAGAGGATCTCACTATTCATATACAGAAATCAAACACAGCATCTTTAATCAGACCACTCACAACATAAGTGTTTTGTCTATTCAAGTCACACCGAATATCTTTTCGATAACAGCAAACAAGCACAACGGCTCTGCTTTTGATGGAAACCAGAAATCAAATTGCCATTTGTACGAGCCTACCATATATGATACAAAGTGTACACCTAACTTCCTTTGTCACACTCAAGAAAATGAGGTGGCGTTCTTCCAGGACAACAGCTCCTTGCTGTGAACGCAACATCTAACAGACACAAAAGACAACTCAAACACACACTAAACCTGCCGGTCACACACAGGATGCATACAACAATCAAGCCCTGTACATCCGTGTTGACACTCCTCAGGCCAGACATGACAGACACTCATCCAACTACACACAGTTTAAATTTTTACATTAAATTTACAAATGAACAGTACAAAAAATGCAAAATTAAAATGTAGAGAGACATTTCCTTAAGAATTGAGGCACTGGTGTGGAAGTGTTAGAAACGCATTCTTAATTTTACAATCTGGGGTGAGACAAAGTTATTACATTGCATTCAATGACATATAGGCATAAAAAGATAATTATATCATTATTTTTAATAAAAATGAAACCCAAAAGTAAAGCAACAATGGTTTACCCAAACCGGTCGCTGCTCTCAGGCCAAGACCTCTGAGGCAGATGAAAGCACAAGCTCGCCTGGAGAGCAAGAGCTCATATCTTGTGGTGCAGTAAGTCAAACTGGTCATGGCTTCAGCTTTCATATTTCCCACCTGTACCAACTTCCCACCAGTACCAACTTATTTTCAAGAACTTAATTCTTTGTTCTGCAAACAGACATGGTGAATGTGTGGAGGAACATGAATTCATGATAAGGTTGACGATTTCATCTATTTTGGAGAGAGAAAAAAAGAGAAAACACTTGATTAGAATTTGTCCACACATACACCATGGAATCAGAACACAGAAGTTCAACACTGATGTTAGAACACAGCAGTCCTTTTCCATGAACTCACTTAACCTGTAGGGTTTTACTTTGCCCTCAATAACTGCTTTTATTTCAGGATTATCCTTTGTGAATCTCAGAAAAACAAAGTTCAAAGCTGAAGATTCCTAAAAGTGGGGAAACAACTGAACCGCCTCTTCTTTTTTTTTGGGGGGGGGTGTTGTCTGATGTTTTTCATAGACAAATACAACAGCTTCCACTTAAACTTGACTATAAAAGTTTCCAATCAACTGACCTACTGACAATGCAAAGGAAGAGCTAATAAACACTGTGGCAAATCCATTTCAGATTGTGAGGACTTGAACCCTTGTTGTCTGAGCCCAACATGAGGGTTGGTGACAGCCCTTTCATCTGTGGCACTGCTTTGCCATGCGAGTCTGGCACCGCTATGAAGAACAAAATATGCTGGTAAATCTCCAGGAAGCAAAACAAGGCACTCTCATGGCAGCTTGAGAAAGTCAGGGGGTATGAAGCTTGTGTGAAAAACCTTTTAGCACATCACTGCATGAACGAAGTGTCAAGATTAACCAAATCCTGTGTGGGAAGTTGTGTGGGTAGTGAAAACTTCCCCAATCCCTAAAAGGGCAAAGGAAGCTTTATCCAAATGTATTATTCACTAGGCTATTTTCAGCCACAGTTTAAAAAAAAGAAATCACACCCACACATTTTGACCACTGGCATTCCGGGTCTAAGGGTCTTGGAACATTGGTGTAAAAGTTGGAAAAATGTGAATAGGGCACAAAAGTCGCTGAGCATGTGGATGAAGGGTCATGGAGGAGAAGGACGAGGGCTCCCATTACCACAGAAGATCACAGCTGCACAGAAAGAATCCATTTCGCCACCACCAGCAAAGACCAGTAAAAACCCCGGGACTGTTCCTGAGGCCATACCAGTGGCAAAGCCGAGCTAACACAAATCAAACATCTGTTGTATCAAGCGGTTGTTGTTTGGCAAGACATAGTTCTGCTGTTGATGGATCTTCACACTTTTTACCCTCACAAGCGGCCACAAGCTACACTTCGGCTAAACAAACGATTCGAAGGTCAACTTGAACCACTTTGGCAACAACACAAGGCCTCCAAGGTCACAGCTCTGAGAGGGTAAGAGAACACATACAGCTGCACAGGCCAAGAGTTGTTCACACCCCTCGCAATACGAGGACCATCCCTCTTTGTTTGAGCTACAAAGGTCGAATGTCCAGCCATCTGATTTGTACTCTTAGCACTTCTCTGTCTGGTATGAGCCCTTCCAGGAAAGATGCAGTGACTCAGTACGAGGCAAGTTGTTCAACAGATGTGTTACGACGGCCTTCCTCAGGCACAGCCCCACATAAGTTCTCAAAAGCATCCACATGTTTCAACAACACCAGTTATCTCCTTTCCAAAAATGTAATGACATGTGGCCAGGAGAAAATCCAATGGCGCTGTAAGTTATGACAACATCAGCTCTCACACTGATTCTCCAATCTGACGAGCTCCACACAAAACACATCAATGTTGGAATCCTCTGGGGCAATGTAAACAATCCGTTCATTAACTACACGGTCCAGTTTGCCCCAGAGTGATGTACCATTACAAATGTCGATAAAAACAAATGGCAGAAGATCACGTTCTGCGGTAATGTACACAGGTATTAGCCTCCCCACTGACCATGACCCCTGACCTTCCACAAGTCAGATGTTCATATAGACACACGGATACACGAGCCGAAACATGTGCCAACTATGTCACATCCTGATGGACTCTTCGTTACAGAGAGTCTGCCTTCCACATCCATGACCATAATAGAATGATTATTTTACTAATACCCTAAGTAACTCCATGCCGTCAATGTTAAGTCAAATCTTTCACAAATTTATGATCCAGTAAGTCCTCAGCTGAAGGCCGGTCTGGGCCTTTACGCTGAAATGTGTAGTTGAGAAATTCTTTAACAGCTATGCTGGCAATGGTGGGTAGCTCGTACTTGGGATGTTTGCAGGTGGCGATCTGGAACATGGCAGCGAAAGGCTCGTAGTCGGAGAAAGGTGGTCTCATAGTCAGCATCTCCACCACGGTGCACCCCACACTCCTGATAAAGAGATGAAAAATCCATTACAAATCGATGATTTAGTTTTATTAAGAAAAGCACAGCACTTGCAACATAAATTGGAAATATGAGCACCAAAAATTAGAGGTGCTACAACAGAGTAACATACATGTATTATTAGAAGGAAGAGAGATAGAGTAATAGATATTTGATAGGAAAAAAGGTGCAGTTTCATTCTTCTGCTGCTTTTCATCTTTGTAAGGAAACTTTGGGCTTTCGAGAAAGTCATGACTTCTGAAAGGGTCAAAACAAAAGAAACAATAGTCCAGTGCTGGTTTCGCCATTTCAAATCACTGAGTGGTAAAGAATAGAAAACTGAGAAGCACATTTTCCTCCAACTTTCTTATAATTTCTCTCCTCTCCTACGAATGCCATACACTTCTATGCTCACAACACCTCAAAAAGTCTTGCTTGCAATTTATTTTTTCCCTCTGATTTGAGAAAAAAAAACTTTTAAATCTTGTTAGTACAAAATATTTAAAGTGTTCCTGCAGGTGCTACTTGCAAAAAACTAGGGAAGGAGGGGGATTGGGAGAGAGGCAGGGGGATTCAAAGGTTCTCATGTGCTTTTTGATTTCTGGAGAACTGTGCTGGCAAAAGTGAAGTGCAACACCCCCTTGTCTTTCTGCAACACAACAATCCTGTTTCTTGATCCTGTTATAGATAGCTGCAACCCCACTGCCAACCACAGTGACCCCACCCCAGATGTTGGGCATTTGATCAAAGAGTTTTATATGATTGGAAGGGGGGAATGGGGGTGAGGGGGTGGTGGTGGTGGTGGTGGTGGATCTATACTCCCTTTTTACCACAATGCTAGTAACGACAGAGGAGAAATTACTGACCAGACGTCAGCCTTGCGGCCATAACCTTCCCCGTTGATGACCTCTGGAGCCATCCAGTGGGGCGTTCCCACAGCTGTCTTGAGCCCTGTGGCTGACGTTATGGTCTGCAGGCGCTTCGACGCACCAAAATCTCCCAGCTTCACATTGCCAATTGTGTCACGTAGCACATTGGCCGCTGTAGAGAAAAATAAAGATTTAGCTGTTAAAGCCAGAGAAAACATCGTTGGCATGCAAGGAATCAAATGGAACATGATGGTATTAACAGAGAATATATAAACGTTAATATATTAGCAGTTGACCAAGAAGTCTTCATTGAAGCAAATTGCTTAAGATGAATATACGAAAGCGGAAGGCAAATGTCTTTGGACAAACAATGCGGAAAGAAGTATTGGAGAATATTGCAACAACAGGCAAGTTTGATGGAAAGAGAGGCAGAGGCAGACAGAGGGAAAAGATACTGGACAAGTTGACAACACGGTTGGGAGCAGCAAGAACAACAGACACCACTGCTGCAACGAAAGGCAGAGTGAAGTGGAGGTCCATGATCGCCCACGCCAGTCGGCAAGGCACCGGATGATGATGATGGAATGGATACATTGAATTGAATAGATGAAGAACAAGACTTTTTTTTTTTATAGTAAAGGGTTTTACGGCGTTCGCAACTGCATACGGTCATATGAGTGCCAAGGGATGGGTGTGAACAGAGAAGTCTTTACAGGGAATCAGACTTAGACGGCTCACCTCTCTAGCTTCAACAGCACAAGGTCTGCTTCGACTATCAAGGCACCCCAAAATAGCAGGTCACAAGGGAGTGACAAACGTACAAAAGAAGTAGAGGAAAATGACAAAAGTAAGGATTAGGAAAGAAAAAGCAGCAGTTCCCTGTTGTAGATCAGGCACAGTAATGACTGTGACATGAATCAGCCCATTTAAAATTCTACTTTGCTTGAACAAGAAATGTACCCCCTTTGGGAATGGCCTAAAGACACTACAGTCAGTGGCACTACCCCGCGGGGGGGGGGGGGGGGGGGGGGTGAACAATCTAATTTTTAATATTATTATGCATGCAGTAGACTTAACTAAACTGTAAGACTATACACCAACCTTTAATATCTCTGTGGACAATAACGTTTTTATGCAGGAATGCCAGCCCTTGCAGCACCTGACGTGTGTACTTGCGAGTGACGTTCTCTGTGAGGGAACCGTACTGCTTCATGTGGTCCAGGACGGAGCCCTGTGAGTGAGAAAACAAACACAACCAATGTTAATGGATGAGTGAGTCAGGGCCTCAAAGTGGACACCAAAGGTTGTTTTTTTACGCTGAAGTAAAAAAATAATCTCACAACAAGGTAAAAACGTAAATGTATTCTCGACAATGACCTGAGACGTTGAAAACACTGGAAACTTCTGGAAAAAGTCACTTTGCCAAATTAAACAAGAAAAGCGAACAACGTATGAGGATATCCACCCTCTAAAAGAAGGCACTAGGCTCAGAGCTCATTAGCTCAAAGAAGACCACATTAGTAACAATAGGAAAGTTATACAATAATGCAAGAAGACACTAACATTAGCCCACAGAACTTTTATATTTTTTACAAGGTGTGCTGACGCCTGATTTTTCTTGAAAACTTGCAAATCGACCTCAGAAATAATGACCAAAAACCCCCACAAAAGTTGACCCATATCTCCCTGTTACATGAATCCAGCATCCCACTATCGACATCTTAAATGATTTTTCCTCTCCTTGTTCATCTTTAGTTAGACATAATAATAATAATAATAGATAGCATTTGTATAGCGCATATCCCCGCTCAGCAGCAGGCTCTATGCGCTTTACACTATATTATTACCCCAGCAGACCATAGAACACTCCGAAACATTCTCAGCTTCCCAGGAAGCATACAGTGCAAGCAGCCGATTAAGCGCTCAAACACTAACAAACTGACAAGATCTTTCGCTGTCTATAGCCGGGTACCCATTCCCACCTGGGTGAAGTGAGGAAAATTCGTGTAAAGTGCCTTTCCCAAGGACACAACGTCGGGCCCTTGACGGGATTCGAACCCACGACCTTACGGTTGTGAGTCCGAAAGCCTAACTACTAGGCCACCGACGCGAGGAGGCTCCTGTTCATCACAAGTCCTCCAGGCTCCTGTAGAGTTTTGGCTCTCCCTTTCTAAGGTTGGGCCATATTTCCTTCACATGATGGATATCACAAGACATAATATGTGAGGCATCGTGGTTAAATCAGGCGCTCGTCAAAATATTAAATCAGAAGAAAACAGGATTTTCCCACCCGTTAGGCAATTTTTATCCATTTTTCTTTTATTGGGCTTCACACCTTTTATGTCCATTTGAAAACACATTTTTGAGTGGATTTTACTGAAAATAGCTGTTCAAAGGCATGAAAAATATAAATCCGCAGTTTCCATTGACTCTCAAGCTTTGGAGGCTATTTTCTTAGTAATTTTACCTCTTCGGCCACAAATGTCTCAACATAATTTATTCAAGATAGATTTTTAAAATCAAAAGCAAGACAAATGAACAAGCTATAAGATGATATCAATAACTTCATATGTCCCAAAAATTGACTACCGCCTGATTCCACCACATCTTGACTCATTGTGACACATAAGACAGGGAAAGGGTTGGTTGACTGACCCCTGGCATGTACTCCATGAAGATGGACAGCACTTTGTTCTCCTGCTGACAGCCGTAATACTGGACAATTCTCTCGTGCTGGAAGTTACGCAGCAGCTGCAGCTCGTTCTCTAGGGCTCGCACCTCCTGCACACACAATACAAGGAGAACATGATGAGTGGTCATATAGAGGGCAAGGGGAAGAGAACAATACAGTAAAACTACACAAATAAAAATGTTCCACCACTGGCCATGGCAGATATGTGTATTAACATTCTGTCGAAGTATTGACAGAAGGATAAAATATGAATACAGATTATTTGTTTTGTACATTTAAAAAGTAGCACAGACTTGGAGAGTACTTGAACTCCCAAGTTTTGAGACATTAGTTAGAATTAAACCAAGACAGAAAACAAAAATGATGGAACAGTGCATTTTAAAAAATAAAATCTATTTTCTGAAAATAAGTGAAAAATATCTGCACAACCTATTTTGATTGTGAGCAAACTCAGAGGGTAAGCTTGCACACCCATTTTCATGCACACGCAAAAAAAAGCATACACATAGATTTGCGAAGTAAAGTAAATGCTTTTTCTGCAAAACAGTCAATTTCCAAAGTATACGAAAAACAATTCTGTTTACACACTACACAGTCACAATCTATACTAAAGAATGTAGGCATAACTCTTGAGAGTTTTCGACTTACTACTCAGAGCAGACATATTACACAAATTTCCTTCTTTCAGTAAAAAAATCCAACATTTTATTATGCTATTTCTGGGGGGGAAAAGCTCTCTAGATTCTATCAAAGACAAGTACAGAAACTTGCAAAAAATTAGTAAACGGAGCTAAAAAGACACTGACAGTGCAAACCAGATATCAGTATGACCATGAAATCCTGCCGCGAAACGTGACGTGGACTTACCTTTGACACCTCAGCGTTCATCGTGCCCAGCGGCACCTGTTTGACTGCCAGCTCTATAGAAGAGTCAGCATCACAGCACAGGAACACCTCACCAAAGGCCCCAGAACCCAGCATGCGACCACGCTTCCAGTTAGTTGGGGCACGCGGGGCTGCAAAAAAAAATTCAAAACAAATGCAACATTGAGACAGGAGTCTAAAAAAGAGATCTGGCCAAGGCAGTAAAAGAATTGACTGACATTTTAAGTAATGGTTAAGCAACATGGAAGCCCTACTGATCTAGTTATAACACAGCACAAAGGATTCATTTTTGTTTTTCAGATCTATATTTATTAAAGGAAAAGAGTATAAATTTTGATTATTATACAGTGGCGTCCAAAAGAACTTGAAAATGTAATCAACCAATCATTGCGCTACCCACTCGAGCAGCATACCAATTCAAAGCTAAATAAATTCGGCACCATCTGACACATTAGTATTTCATTTATGTTAAGAGTCCTCTGAGATATGGTCACTCAAAACTGACCATGGCTTGGCAAAATTGTGTGAAATCAAATAATCGTAAGAGTGTCTTTCTGCGTGTATTGAGGAGAATCAATATTGATAGAATAGAATAGCATACATTGCATATCAAATGAATTAAAATAATAAATAAACAGAAACTGGAATTGGGTACTGACATTTGGAGAAGAGAGGTCCACTGAGGGAGTAGCGACTGCCCGGGGAGTCCCAGTCCGGCTCTGCAGGGACGCCGCTGCTGGAGGAGCTCCTGGAGGCTGAGTCGATGGTGCCTTCTGAACTGTGGGACATGAGTGAGCGCAGGGACTGGGTGTCGGGCTCCATACGCCTCAGAGTCGACCGCGGGAACGTCTGATGACCTGTGAGAAAACAAAATGTGATGCATCATGGTGAAATCAGGCACTCTTCAAAATAATGAAATTGAAGAAATGGGCATTTTTCTGCCAGTATGGCAGTTTTTATCAAATTTTTGTTTTTTGACTCAACAACTTGTCAAGGACTCTCAAGATACTGAAATTACCAAACTTTGATGACCATTTTCTCGGTAATTTTACAACAGAAACCAGGCACCCACTTCCTTCAATCACAAGCATCTTGAATTCTATTCAAGATTGACAGGTTCTTTTTTTCATTGACAGCAAGTCAAATGAATACGCTTTCAGATACCAATATCTCCACATGCCCAAAAATTGACGGGCCTGTGTTTTGGGCTTAAGCTAACAGTAACAATAAATGTGTCAGAAGATCAGACATCATTGAAAAATAATACAGTCCTTAATCAAAGTCCTCAACTTTAACATAATGCAATCAAAGAACTGAGTCCACAATATCCCATGAAATTTAGGGAGAATTGACGAAAACCTTTCAGATTTTGATTCCTCAGAGAAAATATCCTGGTGAATAAGAGTATTATCTCTAGCACTAGAGTGTGACACATTTTTCTACGAGTGTAGTCTGTGACAAATTACGGAGAACAATTATAACAAGTGAACTTTGGCCATATTCTGACAGAAATGTCTCATGACCAGAGAGAAATAAACTTCTTTTGATATAAATTAGACACACATCCCCCCCCCCCCCCTCTGAAATATTGACAAGATCATATCCCTGGCTCACTTATTATAACTAATTATAATAAACCAATGCCACATGAATAGACTTGACTATGTAATGATTCAAAATCCCAATTCTCCTCAAATCCCTGCATGCATTTTTTTTCCGTCATACCAACTTCCTATTTTTAAATACTAAAAAAAAAAAATGCATTTTTACCCATGCCAACTTCCAATTTTTAAATACTAAAGCATCTTTACCCATGCAGCCAGGCAGGACACAGGGGTTGGTCATACATGTTACGAACATTGTGAAGAAATACACATTTCCACTTAATAATACTTCTCACAATAAAAAGTTAACAAACCTTCTGGGTTATTTTTAGTAGAGGTTTTACGGTGCTCGCAACTGCATAAGGTTATATGAGCACCAGAAGATAAGAGGTGTTACAAGAGAGTAACAAACATAAAAAAGAAGAAGATGAGATAAGAAGGATAGATGTTTGATTGCAAAGAAGAAGCAAACCACACCACAGCACCTGCCAACCACCCACTAACAAACCTCTCTATGACATTTCAACTAAAAGCAGATAAGACTGTTCCAATGAGAAGCAGATTGTCCATAGGACTATACTTGACTTCACCAAAATAAACTTTTTTTATGCGAGCAAAATTTACTTTTAATGGCTTCAACAGGGTTCAGCAGGTCCCCCCAGCATGTTTAAGCATTATCGTCCAAAAATTTGCTGGTCTGTCACTGAACTAATTTGACAGCCATTGTTCAAACCTACACCTTGGGATATTATGGAATTGTTAAGGAAATCCAAAAATTCCCACACATACCATTCTTGGTTTCCACAGATGAGTCGAGAGGAGCACCTTCAAATCCTCTTGGGAATGTGCCAAAATGTCTTCGACCTGGAAAGAAAGGGAAACACATCAATCATGTATGTCTTGACCCGCCCACTGTTCCAGAGTGACACTACAAAAGAACTAAAAATCTTATAATCTATCAGCCCGTATTAATATGCAAAATGAGTTGTAGTTAATGCAGAGCCGCAACAACATTTAATTTTATTGCGTGGCTTTCAATAGAGCTGGGCGCAGAATCGAGTCCGGAAACGATTCCCACGATCAATGCTACGGAAGAAAAGTTCCTTTTTTTTTTAACGTAAACCAGCGATTACCAGTTACTTTTTTCATTAAAATCTTTTTTGGAAGAATTTGTTTTTGAAAAATAAAAATTGATACTTCACAGTGTTCCGAAATCAAGGTTATCCTAAATCCTGAAGACGTTCGGAGCCAACCAGATAACCTCCGGAAGAAGTCACATCATTAGAAAGTAAGTAATTGGGTTCGGAGTCGGTTCCTACGACTCCTAGCTTTCAAGAATCAGGAACCTAGCCGCCCAGCACTAGCTTTCAAGCCTCTTTCAACCTTGTAATGTGATATAAGTGGCAGGACCCCACAATTTAACATCCATATCCTACAGAACTCAATAAAGCTGGCGGAGAGCTTTAATAACTCCTAGAACAAGTCAAGATCACACCCCAGTGTGGACTCGAGCAAGGGTCATTTGTATCATAGCCAATCATGATATCAACAGAGGTAGTGAAGCACAAATTTCACCAGGAACTAAATAGGATGAAAGTAACGCTGAAAAGAGTAGATTTATTAAACCACAGACGGACACCCACCAGCCACCCATGCTGCTAGATTTAATACTTAGCATTTGTATAGTCCATATTCCCGCTCAACAGCAAACTCTATGCGCTTTATAATCTACATTATAACCCCCAACAGACACTAGAACACTCAGAGAGAGTTGACAATCCCAAGCACAACGCATAGCCCACTGAGCTGTTGCAGGGCCACTTGAGCTTCACATACCAGCATATTGACACAGTGGACAAGGTTGCCGGATGTTGCTGAAGTAATTAGCAGAGCAAACTGACCCTAACCAGGAAGGGAAATAAGTGAAAAGAGTAAAGCTTGCTTAATTTGACTAGTGTAAGAGACAAAATTACTCCCCCCCCCCCTTTCCGGGGAAAAAAATAAAACCAGCCCAAAGGAACAAAAAAAGAAAACAACCCCCCCCCCCTCCCCCAGGAAAATACCCCCCAAACAAACATGCTCTTCATTTTGAAAAGAAGAAATCACTTTTGTGTGTCTCGGTGAGACTGAAATGAAGAGTTGAGAGGAGCCCATTGTCAACGTGAGTCAGTTGGCGCTGAAAGAGATGGTGAGAATGACAGATAGAAATGACACGGGGGAGTATGACAAAGGACCCACAAGTGGCACCCTTTAAAAGCTCTCTGGGGGAACAAATGGGTGGGGGAGTAAGTATGTGAGGGGGAGTTCGCGGGTGTAAAGGCGGGTGTTGATGTGTGAGGGGGTGTGAGGGGGTGTAAAGGCGGGTGTGACTAGAGTGAGTATAGCAACATAAGTAGTTTAAAGCAGTAGTAGCGCCCCCATGGGGGGACATGAGCCCCGTAAAACAAAGACAAAGACATGGGAAATGATAACAATTAAAAAAAAATCCTACATACATCCGTCCGTGCAAACATGTGTGTGCTTGCGTTTAAGTGTGCCCAGTGTGCCTCTGTGTGTACATATATTTGAGAGTAAGTGTACGTGTGTGTGTGTGTGTGTGTGTGTGTGTGTGTG